AACTACGGCAGGGACAATGGAACTGGAAAGAGATGGAAGTGCCCACAGCCATACAAGTAGTAGGCTGACAGAGTTGAGGGTCAAACCTTGATCTGACTTCTCAAAGCCTTCTCTCTACCTTGCCATTTATTATTCATCTGACAATTAGTTATTGATCATTTGTTAGGTCCCAGGCCTGTGCCTGATGCTGGAGATACAGCCATGAACCAAACAGACACTGCTCTGATGTAATACATTGTCTGGATGTTAAACAAATAATACAGTTGTATACAAGTACAAACTGAGCTGATACCATGAATTTTAACAGGTAAAATTACCTACAAGGGTACAAAGCTCTTCCCAACTGTTGAAAATGTGGAAGAGCCGCTTGCCACTGCATGCGATCGAGAGTTCCGGAAACTTTGTCAGAGTTTGATACTGAGTGTTACATCCCTGGCCAGCTTACAAGTCCTCAGGGCAGAAGCTAGTATATCTTAGGGTGGACACCCTTCCTGAGGAAACAGAAGTCTTTCTAAAACCAACTACCAATTCCTTGATTCTCTCACATATCCCAACCTCAGGCAACCATCGCTATTTATATACCATAGTTGAGACCTGTCAGAGAGTCAATCATTTGAACCTCACGGCAACCCTATGTCGAATGAAGGGAGGTTTTAATATCCTACTTGACAGTTGTGGAAACTGAGGCCTAGACAGGTGACTTAACCAAGGTCACTGAACTAGGAAGGCCCCCAGCTCTGTCTGCCATCTAACTCTCATGAGAAGCACCCCTAGACAGGAAACCATGAATCTCAGAGGAGACAGCCTCAGGTCACTGAGCCTGGATAAAGTCACCCAGGAGGTCCATGAAGTTCCTGAGAACAATGATCGGGGACATTAAGCAGCTTGGGAAAGGTTTCTAGAATGCAGTGCCACCAGCCTGAGACACAGGTAACCTTGCCAACTCTCCCAGATTAGAACAGGTTCTCCTGGACTCTTTCCAAGTGCCTCTGACTAACAGAGAAAAGTATTTTTCCATAGCAAACACTGCAGGCAGGCTCCAGACTCCTGAGAGGGAGGGCAAAGAACACACCCCAGATTCCCAGGCAGACGGTCTGTGCAGCGATTCTGATACCACGTGAACTTCCCTGGTAAGCACCTACCCCTGGGGATGTCAGTCCTGGACAGCATTTCTCTCCATCTTGACACTGAACATTTGGGGTTGGGTAATTCTTTGCTGTGGGGGATGCACTGAAAGATGTTTAGCACATCCCTGGCATCTACCCACTAGATGCCAGCAGCGTTTGTGCGTAAACTCTTTTTTAATCAATATCACACAACAAAAGCCTCCCAGAATGAGACCAAGAGCAGCCACTGTGCCGATGTGGCCTGCAAGTACATCCCAGCAACAAGCCACCATTGGGCTTCCTTGCTCCACAAATGAGCTGCTTCTGACCCTGTGAGGAAATCTTGCTCCCATTAATGTGAGCAGCTGAGTCTGATTAAACAGACGCCCTGGGTGTTTCTTCTCAACGACACCAGGCCAGGGCAAGGGCTTCCACTGCTGCTAGAAGGAATAAAAATTGTGAATGAAATAACAGAGGGCTCCCATTTACCCAAAATCCAGTACAACAACCAGGACACCCAAACATCCCAGCTTTGCCCATTCTGGACTTGGGAGAAAGAGGAAAGTGACAATGCACCTAAACAAGTGAGTTGAATTAACAAGTTAATTAAATAGTTGAAATGCTACCAAATCACACGCTTGACTGGAGGTGGAGCAGCTCAGACAGTGTCAGGGATGTGGGCTCCAAACTCCCACCCCGAGGGCCAGGTTGCTGGCCCAGACACAGGGACCAGCACCAGTTACAATGCTTCAAAGAAGCAACATCTTTATGCCTTTCATTAGTCAACTACCCACCTGGTTAAAGGTTTCCTGACAGGCTTAACCCAATTCACTGCCACTTGGTAGGAAGGGTCTTTCACTGCTCTGCAATTCTTTGAAGACTAACCATGAAATGCCTGCCTGTTAACACCCAATTACTCAGGCTACTGCTACGTTTCTATGCTGCTTTTGTACTTTGTTTAGCTCTATTGTTGAGCATCTCATACTGGAATATACTGAAATTTGATGACAGATCTGTCTCCCCTGGTAGAAAGTGGACTCCTTAAGGGCAAGATTTATATCTCATGAAAGGTATGGTACATAAACAGACCCACCATTAGTAAGATGGTTGGATGGATGGAAGGGAGGAAGGAAGGAAGGAAGGAAGGAAGGGAG